TACACTATATATGTATACGCACACACATATATAGATAGATAGATATAGACATCGACACTAGATAGATATAGAAACAATATATAAGAAATAAGAAATAAGAAATAAGAAATAAGTATATAGACATACACACATACATATACATAGTACATATACTATTACGTATATATATATATATATATATATATATAAAAATATTTTTATAAAATAATATGATATATACATACATATTGAATGTACGGTCACATACCACCAGCCCTCGTAGATCGTCTAGAGTTAACCGCCATTTGAACTCGTCGATTTGTCGTTCCACTCTGAGTGTTTTGTTTTTGAGATCATACGGGTCCTGTCATGTTGAAGACACATGAGAATTCAGAGAGCACATTTAAACCCACACGAGATCTGAATACATGCGCATAAACCAGTACACACTGCTGTACTGTATATATGGCAGGTGGTTGGTCGTTGGTAGGTAGGTATGGCGAGTTGGTAGGTAGGTAGTAGGTAGGTATAGTGTGTTGGTAGATAGTTGGTAGGTAGGTATGGTGAGTTGGTAGGTAGTTGGTAGGTATCTATACACTGCGAATCCTGATTGACATCAACTCAACAACTCGTTCTATTGAACTTCTGAGCTTGCCCTGATTGCATCAAGTTACAACCAGCCGTCTGGCTTCCATATATGGACTACTGTAAAACTAAGAGTAGTGTAGTGTGATATAGTGTAGTATAGTATAGTGTAGTGTAATATAGTGTAGTATAGTATAGTATAGTATAGTGTAATATAGTGTAGTGTAGTATAGTATATTATAGTGTAGTGTAATATAGTGTAGTGTAGTATGGTATAGTGTAGTGTAATATAGTGTACTGTAGTGTAGTGTAGTATAGTGTAATGTAGTGTAGTGCAGTGTGGTGTAGTGCAGTATAATGCATAGTACGTGAATGCGCTTGGACTACATAAGCGCTATATACAGACTCTCAGTAGTGACGTGCAGGATATGTACATTGACTCCAAGGATATACATACCGCAATAGAATAACCGCAAGCAGCCACGCTAGAGCGGTCATTCGGTATATCTGCATTGAATAAATATGTATATATATGTATATATATATATATCTATATATAAGTCCAGTCATACATACTCTCACAACAGGGCTGTCTGTTAGAACATGCTACTGCAAAACACAACGACAACAACACTTTGCTTCCCACATATCTTGCTAAACTGTTCGATGTGGTCATCCTCCTACACAAAAACCCTAAACCCTAAAATCCCAAAAAAACGTCCTATGCCTACTATGTTGCCACTAGTGCTCGGAATGGAAAGGGAAGCAAATGTATTGGTACTATACAACACACTCAGACATACAACTGCATGGGCAAAGGAACAGCCCAAACCAACACACTCAGGCACACCAGGCCATGAACAACAGTACATACATACATATATATATATATGTATTAATATACGTACATACATAAATACGTACATACATAGATACATAGGTACATACACACACACACTCGTCTCGTCTGTGTAACGTACCTCCGCACTGCCCACGGCATTGGAGATGTGAGCAAAGTGGTTTGTGAAGTTGTTGGAGTACACACTCTGCGCCACTTTGACCTGTCCGGCGGTGTGTAGGTAAATGCGCACGGGATCAAACGACGTGATGACGGCGTATATACGTAAATCCGTCTTACGTTTTCCCTGCAGCACATTCACCAGGAACGGGTCCTCAACGTACTCTTGCACCACGCGCTTCTGCGGGAGGAAGGGGTTAACAGCGGATGAGTCATACGGGAAAAACGTATTAGTAAACGTATAACTCGACTGAGGCGACTCTCCCGGCTCGCACATGGAGAGTGCAACGAAACCTCGACGCTCTTTATAGTCACTGTAGTCAACTATGGGCAAGTGTGCACGCATATGTAGGTGTGGGTATATCTATGCACACATATGTAGATTTAAGTATATCTATGCACACATATGTAGGTGTAGGTAGATCTATGCACACATATATAGGTGTAGGTGTTGCTGCTAGTAATGTGCTTTGTAATCCCTCTGCTACAGCGCTGGCGCTAAACGCGTTTGCATTGATACATGGTTTATGGGTCAAGTTTAACGTACATACACAATGTCCATATGTACATATGTTTATGATTTATGTTAGAAATACCTATACAAAAACCATGTACATATGTACACGGTATATGCTTAATGTACATACACATGCACCATGTACATATGTCCATGGTTTATGTTTAAAATACTTGCGCATAAATCATGAATATATGTCCATGGTTTATGGGGTGCGCTTAAAAATCATACACATACACAAAAGCACATGGTAGGTAGGTAGGTAGGTAGGTAGATTCTACTTCTACCCACCCATTCTACTATCTACTTCTACCCCCCCCCCCCAACACAGATAGACCCACCACACCACACACCTCCAATTGCGTTGGGGCTGGCAACTGGTTCATTCCCGCGTACAGTTCGATTCCTTTGCCAGAGCTCTCAGCAATCATCTTACCAATCCACACCTGGTGCAAAGAAAGTGTATAGCAATATAACGGAAGGGTAAATAGATAGTGAGGTAAAATGTATATAATCATAAAATGTGAATGATAGTTAACTAATTAATTGATGATGATGATGATGATGATATATATATAATATAATAGTATAATAATATATATACATATATATCTATCTATACATATATACACACACACACACATACATATATATATACATACATACATACACACAGTACCTTTTCCGGCTGTAGTCTGGATGCTTCCAGTAGTAGTGCATGTTGCTCTGGTAGGATGTAGCATGAGAGGAAACCTGAGCCAGCTACTTCCTTGCCATGTTTGGCGACAAAGCGCTGTGAATTGCGGCACAGCTGGTCCTTGTGATAGCTCTCCTCGTATATCCCAGGAATGTCTGCACAGCGAAAAGCGCGCAAAACTATCTGTACGAGCTTGTGACTGTGATAGTATGTGGCTGCGATAGTATGTGACTGTGTTAGTATGTGACTGTGGTAGTATGTGACTGTGATAGTATGTGACTGTGATAGTATGTGGCTGCGATAGTATGTGACTGTGATAGTATGTGACTGTGA